TTTAATTAAAAACAAACCTGTACAGTGTTTGTTAAAATTAAAATACAAAATCTTTAGATTGACCAATAATTACACTTTCATTTACGTTAAGCATTCCCTATGTGTAAAGTTAATAATTTTGGAAGAGTTTTAGATTTAAATGACAAAAAAGATCATTTACAAAATACTTTAAATTTTATTTGTTCTATTAATAGGAAAGACATCAATTGGTAATTAAAAATTTAACCAGCCATAATGTATTATCCAGTGAATATGTGTTTGACAATACCTAGTGCAACTTTTATATTCCTTAAAAATAAAAAAAAAAAATTCAAATACTTTGTTTATTAAGTGTTATTTTGACAGATTTTATTTAATTGGAAATGTTTCTCCAAGTAGCTTCTCTAATTATGAAGATCTGAAGGTGGTTGTCAAATATCCAATTCAAATTTTTAATCATTTCCTGAGTAACTCTTGAAACATTTCTCTTTTTCAAGACTAAAGGTCACATTAAAAATCTGGTTTAATTTTTTTTTTAAACTAATAATGCAACACTAATGACATTAGTAGTAATAACGAACTGTCAGTATTGGAGTTGCAAAGCCAACTTAAAAATCAATAAACTTTATATAAAGTAGGTACAATAATGGGGTGAGTTTATGATTGATTTCCTTTTTTACTGAATGTTAGTCCTATTTTAAAATGTCAAAAACTTATTCAGTCGACAATAAATTACAGCTGGTTAAATTTTAATAATTAATGAACAAATAGCTATTTCCTGTTAACTAGTTATCAGTTAAAATTAAAATATTTTTTTGGGTTATCATTTTCTAATTTAAATTTTAAAAAATCCCCGAAAATATTAACATTAGGTATAGCAAAATGAAACTTTAAATAATGTACTTCTGAAAGGTAATATAGAATAATACAAATAACCAATTTTTACTTTTGCCATTGCCATTGGAAATTTTCTATGTTTATGAACAGAGTTTCTGTCAAAACAAACAACCTGAAATTCGAAGATATGTTTACAACATCGGTTAACATTACATACGTATAAGTCTGTCTCTCTCATGCTCCGTCTATATCATGGAGGTATAATACTAATGGAGATGCCATGAGGCAATTGTTTTGCATATGATACGTTTTATTAAAAATGACCCCACTGGGCGTGGCTTAAATGGTTGACTAAGCAGGGTCGTATTCAAATATAATTAAAGTCCGTATGCAGAATTACAACTTTTAAATGACTTACTTACCTAAGATTTGTTTCAACATGATCGATTCGAAATTAATATGATGACATTGCGCAATTATGACTTCTACACTATTTACTATTATTTATTAACCGTTTTCCGACCAAGCCAATGCCAAGACCATAAAAGAGATTAATATTATTATATTGTTCTGTCTTCGCCGAAACCGTCCGATATATGACCTGTGTGATCGAAAATCAACGTTCGAATAACACTGTGCATCAGATTTGTTAATCTCTTTGTGCTTTAAAAGAACTACGATTTTTCGTTCAAGGACTCTCTTGTCTTGATCAAAGCTGTTAATGTCAAAATCTGACAATGAGGAGAATTATGACATCAAATTACCAAACCAAAAACCAAACCACTACGTGAATTGTGAATAAATATATTTCAGCCGAGTTTGTAAAAAGGACAATTAATTACTTTTAAATGTAAAACATGTAGGTCTTTCTGCTACAGTCAAAAGTTTAAAAAGACCAAAAATTCAGGAAGAAAACCATGATCAAAACTACTCTTTCAAAACCAATCGGAACTAAAAAGACTCAGATAATATTTGTTGGTTTTATTTATGTTTGAAATAATTAATTATATAGGGTAGGTACATATACTACTAAAATTGCAAGCAAGTACTTACTAAAGATTTCTATAATTGGTACCTATGTATAATAAACAACAATCTCGTAGATGCACAGCATACAACTATACAAATGGAATTATAGAGATAATTTATTTTAAAAATAGGCATTCAGTTGCGATTTGTGATTACAAAAAGAAAACTTTAACCACTTTTTCTGATCAGTAATGTTAGTGTTATAGTGAAAAAGTTTCTAGAAACTGGTGTTTTTAATCCTAATAAAGCATTGTGAATTTCCAAGAAAAGTGCATGATGAAAATTGTTTTGACCAAAATTTTGAATGTCATGCCATTTAAAAAGAAACCCTGTGGCTGTGGATAACATTTGACACAAAATCGTATCCTAAAAATAACTGTTTGGTTGCATTGGAGGAATAATTTCTTCATTAGTACTTTTTTAGGGTGCAAGGATGACTTGACATTACTTTGTTATAAGTTGTCTTTTTGCTTTAATTTCTGATACACCTGTATTGTACATACTTGAAAAATATAAAATTGTTCAAGTGGGAAGTTTATATACAAGGTGTCTCATTGAGAAAGAGATACAGAACAACTGAAGAGTCTTATTAAAAATAAGACTATGCTTAGAATGCGAATATTCTTCATTTTAATTTTGAAGTTTCTTATAAGTTCCTCACAAAAGTACCTATATGATTTACTTAAAAAACATCAAAAAATATATAATTATAGTTCAAATAAGTGTAACGTATCTTATGACACCAAAAACTTTTGCCAAATTTGGTAAAATTATAGGTAACTATTCAGTTTTTCTGTGTCCCATTCTTAATAAGACACTACAAAAAAAATTTTATTATTTAAAAAAAATATTTATTGACCTTTAAACAACACTATTTTGTTGTTTTTATGTCTTATGTTAGCAGCTTTATTAACTCTAGTTTTAGGGTCGGTCTTTTCACCTTCAGATAAAGTTCCAGATAACTAACTGACGCATATATTATCTGAGAGTTACTGTCTGTCAGATAATTAATTTTCTATTTTTTCAAGTAAATAATATGTGTGGTAGGTATCCAGTAATTTTTAACCTTATGTGGTCATGTAACTACCTGCTTATCCATCAGTGAAGTATTTTATCAGAAATTTCATAAATAAGATAATTTATCATTTAGAAGTTTAGTTTATCCAGAGGTGAAAAGATTACTTTTTAAGTTACTTGGAAGATAAAAATTACCTGACACTTTATCTGAAGGTGAAAAGATCGACCCTTAGTGAGATATGTTAGTCGGATACTAACATATTTATCAACTTGATTAATAATATTCTATAATTATCCAACACAAACTGGTCCAAACTGTGCTGCATAATATTCGAAAAGACATTAGAATTTAATGAATTCTTTTAAAACTAATGTGCTGATGATATCAACTGATATTTTTTCTTAGAGTCTTTCATAATTTTTAATATTTTTTCACATTTTAAACAAATGTTTATTACATCTTCCGATGGATATTGCAAACCATTTTTATTCTTTATATCAATGAATGAAAATAGAAACAAATCTCTAGTTTTACTTATTAAAGGATCTAAACATTGTTCACAAATGATTTTTTTTTTTAAATAATAAACAACATATCCAGAAATGTAAGTGATTATATATTTAGAAAAGTAGAAGATTGTATCTGGTAAATAATCATGATCATTTTCAATAACATTCACTTTCTCAAAATCATTCTAAAAAAAATTCTAAGTACACTCCTTATACTTACTTATGAAAACTTAAATTAGATATTTTCTTACGCTCTTTCACTGAAGAGTTTTTACAATTAATTTTGGCACACTTAGTTATGATTTTTATACAAATTAATAAAAAAAAAAACACTTATTAAGATAGAAATAACGTCGAAATATTTAAATTTGAACAAAGTTCTGACAGCTCTTTGACAACTATGACATGACCACTAAGAGAGGGGGAAGGGGTATCGTTTTTTTTTGGCATGTCATCTCCATAGTATTCAACCTCATTGCTCTAGATATGTTTTCGTTTGACTTTTGACATGTCTGTCAAACTTTGAGATTCTGAGAGTTTATGACTAAAAACAGACTATTTTAAAATGAACATCATTGAAAACAAATAAATTATATATCAGAAAAAGATCACTACCTAATAAGGAAGTCCATTCACAACTCGTTTTTCATTTTCTTTGATCAACTAAACGTTTTTATAAACTTTAAAAGTAACTTATTGAAAATAATAATTAGTCAAATACATAATATTTTGCACCATGCCCATTTCTTTATTTAAAAGTATCTCTGGTGACAAAGATTAATGGCTTTATTGTCACAAACATATCACCACGAAATTTCTTGATTAATTAATGTCAACAAAAACTATTTACTGTAATACATATTTATAAATTATTTATTTCAAGGTCAGAGCAAAATAAAATTGTATATGAACTGTAATTTGTTTTGTGTTGTTCTTAAATTGTTACATTTTATTGCCAATTTCTGATTATTAATATTTATTAAAGTGTTGTTGTCCTAAACTAAATACAAATTTTTATTTAGGAGAAGCTTTGGTTCAGATGGCAATCTCAGCATTTTTCAGATACAAAACAATAATTATTATTTATTCTCTCTTTCATGTAATTTTACGTCTTAATTATTTAACACTATAATACATTATTATTCAAACACACGCCAATTAAAATCAACATTGAATTGTGTAGTGTTTTCACTCAATCCTGCGAAACGTTGTTCAAATATACATTGTAAATAAAGAATCAACATTGTTTATATTGTTAAATAATATTTCTAAATACCACGCGAGGTGAGATTTTTTTTTCGAGAATATTCTCGATTGAATTCTCGTGGTATTTTAACCATGATTGGTCTCAAAAATAGTCCACGGCCACGATATCTTGATGAAGACTTAGGAACAATTGCTGTAAGAATACAGATAGAAAGCATTGGACAAAGAAGATTGAAAGAATGTCAAGGCTCGTAAAGGGTCTTAGGACCAAAACGATGAATAAATAATTTTCTATCCTTAAATATTAATAGAAAAATTCTTATGTAAGACTAGCTAGTTGAAATAGTTTAAGATATTTTGACGCAACATGTTTTCACTATTTCGTTGTTATAATTAATACAAAATCTGTTTCTTGTTTACAGTGCCTATTCCAACACAGAGAAAGAAAAGATCTACCAGAAACATTTTTGTAAAAATGGCAAATACTGTTGGCCCGCTATCCCTACTAAAAAGATGCGTCGAGGGCAAATTAAGAATAAAGGTTGGTATGCTTATTTTGAAATGAAATTTCTAAACTTCTAAAAATTCCGATCATTAAAATCAACCAAGGCCGACACTGTCCAAAATTTATCGAAAAATGTAACCTCAACATTCAAATGAACCACTTTAAATTCAGTTTTCAGATATTACTCATGCCCATGTGGGTACCACACGTATTTCGATTAGGTGGTGCGCGTTTGGTAATGATTGCGCAACGTATAAATAAGAATTCGATATGTCGGAGAATCGACCTTATGGGTTTGGTTTGCAAATCGAAATGAGGTCAAGTTTGTGCTTTCTTTCTGTATTCACCTAGATTTTTTTCGCGATTAAACTGACATTGATCATGGTGCTCGTGGTACTGTGATGTAACTTTTAAAATAGGTATAACGGATTTCTTTGACAAAATATTTTGCTATTGTACAGCATCCTATTTAAGTTAAAATACTGATATACTAGATATATTAACAAATAACATGCAACTTTGGTCGTGTGTAGTGTACCATTCTATATTATTAAAAAGAAGCTAGTATAACCGTCAATAAATCTCGAAAACTTTGAACATTTGAGCTTCCGAAACTTTAATTTTGTAATAATAACAAAAAAATTTAATCGAGAACACTAATTTGACTCCTGTAATTTTCCGATTCTCCATCTAATGCTACCCGAATCCTTTGAAGCTGCATCGAAGGGTTGTGAAGTAAACTGACCCTCTAGAAAACTATCGTCATTTATAAATAAATTTTTTTGTGGTAAGAAAACATAAATAATTCAAGAAATATCTAAGAAAATATTTAGATTCTAAATTTACACAAAAAAGAATGAATATACAGGGTGTTATTGAAATACACGTACATATTAAAATGGGGAATAGTATGTAATGACCAAAAACGATTGGCACCAATTTTAACTTCAAATTCTAAAATTTAAATATTGGGGAAGAGTCCCCTTTTCCGACCTACTAGTTTCCATATTTAAAGAAGTAAAATATATCGAAATTGAAATTACCCATAAAAATTGCACTGTTGCCGTAGCAAAACCAATTAATTCAAAATAAAGTTTATTACAGTAATTGTTCAAAATGCCGTCCATTATTATTTACACACACTTGCAATCGTCTTTCCAAAGAACTTTGAACATTAGAAATTAGTCTTGGATTTTGTCGTAGTTCCTCGGCTACCGCATTAACTTTATTGGTTAATTGTTCAACACTATTAATAGGTTCATTATAAACCAGTTGTTTCATGTGACCCCACAAAAAGAAATCGCATGGATTTAAGTCCGGAGATCTCGGAGGCCACTTAGTAGGTCCATTTCTGCCTATCCACTTTTGAGGAAATCTAATGTTCAAAAACTGCCGTACGTTTAAATCAAAGTGAGGAGGAGCGCCATCTAGTAGGTACCACATCCGTTGCCTTAATTGTAACGGTATCTCTTCTAGGAGTACTGGCAAAATATCTTCTAAAAAGTGGAGATATCCTGGCCCATTTAATCTGTTCGGGAGAACACAAGGCCCGATTAAATGCTGATCTATTATGCCAGCCCAAACATTTATTGAAAATTTTCTTTGATGCCCAGTTTCCCTAATGGCGTGAGGATTTTCATCACTCCAAATATGCGTATTGTGCATATTGAACACGCCATCACGAGTGAATGAAGCCTCGTCAGTATACAATAATATTTTTAGAAAATCAGGAATATCAACACATTTTTGAATCATCCATTCACAAAACTCCACTCTCTTTTCTTCATCACCTGGATATAAGGCCTGGACTTTTTGGATGTGATAAGGATGTAAACCTTGTTCTTTAAGTGTCCGCCACACAACAAATGAGGACACTCCAATTTCAAGACCTAGTCTTCTACAACTTAATTGAGGCCGGTTTTCAACAGCTTCCAACATTTCTTCTTCGGCCGCCAATGTGCTTTGTGTTCTTGTTCTCCCTCGATCTGCATTGACACTCTCAAATTTTCCATGGTCTCTTAGATGCTGAACAGTTGAAATAAACGTACGACAGTCCGGAATTCTCCGATTTGGAAACCGTTCGCGATACAGGATTTGTGCTTGCCGAGAATTTTCTCCAGCTGCTCCATAAACCAGCACTATATCCGTTAGTTCAATATTCGTAAATAGTGGCATCGTAAAAAAATATTTAAAAGTAATCGTAACAACACTTTTTACCAATTTGGAAATGACGCGCTCGTGTTAGCCAGATTCGTAAATCAACTAAAATTTTAATAATCTATAGTTTCAAAAATGTATAGTTTAAAAACAATAATTTATCAAATATTCTAGTTTTTTGATAACGAGGGTAGTAAAAACCAGTCTTCGGAAATAGAAATTAATTCGAAAATCTTGGCAACATGGTTATTTCTTACAAGACTAGTTTTCTTATCATCTGACAAAAACTTGCATATTAATTACTGTTGATGTTTAAAATAGGTAAATAAACCTAATTTATATAGGTCATCCTCAACATATCAGTGAAGTACGTTTGTTTTAGAATTAATTTTCAAAAATTAATAACTCCCTTAATAAGGGGTATTTTTAAAAAATTATATTTTTCTACATTCAGTGGGGATCTGCGCAATACCCACTTTTAATATGTACGTGTATTTCAATAACACCCTGTATATTAGCCTTTTTATTCCATTTTGACTCCTTAATCACCTGTTAATAGTATGCGGATTTTATCACTAACAACTACATTTATTACAAAAGATTGTACCAGTCAAAGAGGTTTCAGTTAACTGTTTGTAAGAATATACTGAAAATACGAAAAGGCAATATTAAGATATTCGAAAATAAGGTTTTGGTGTAATTACAGATGGATCTATTGTAGTTCATGCCTAAATTATAGTCTACCAAACCACACCTTTATCGTCTGTTGGAGGGCAGTGTCGGATTGGGATCCGTGTGCCCTACCTATTCAGAAGGAAGAAGAGTCCATCTATACATTTGTAATCATAGGTCAGGTTCATTGAAGAGTAAAAAAGGTATTCTTAGCACACTGATGCTTTTTCCGTGACTGCCACGTATTACGGGATTTTCTTTGTTCTTCTCAAGGGCCCACTGCCAGAACGAGGGATCACACCCCAGCAAACATTTTCTATAACATTAGTTATAACTCGACTTTGTTTAAGACGAATTTACTTATTGAGGTAATTATTACGTAAAATTGACTAGAAAAATATACCTGTAATGTAAATTTACCAAACGGTTTTAATTTATATTTAAATTTACGTAAATTATACCAAGAAATCTACCTTTTACACAAATCTGCTTAAAAGTAACTTTAACCATATCAGCAAGGGAAAAACTACTTAAAAAAATAACCAACAATTACTTCAAAGTTAAATTTCCTTTGTAGTAAAATTAAACTTTGTTGTAGCAATTACCTGAAAAATTTACCACAAAGTAAATTCGACTAAAAACCACCAATTTAAAAAAAGTCATACATGACCTATTTGTAAAAGTTATATTATTTAGGGTATTTTAACAATTAGGTTGTTCAGTTACTGTCTTCGTCATTATTCTTAAGAATTTCGGCCATTTTAAAAAAACCATTACAGTCGTAATCTTAATTTACGTGTGGTGTAGATAGAGCTTTAAATGAGTGCAAAAAATAATTAATAAAATGAGTTCGAAAAATAATAAATCATATCGTTATACTTCCGATTTTTATCGTAAAGTGAAACATCTAAATTCTCAAGGGCAGAACAACGTGACCTAAATATATTATATTTACCTATAGGTAAATTTTTTATAAAACTTATAAGTTATTATTTCTTTAAATAGGTAAAGTTAACTAATATGTCGTGAAATTGAAGTTAATTCAACTTAGTAAGAAGGTAGACTGACGGCTGATACCCAATCCAACACTGGTTGCGGGTAGCCTAGATAGCTCTGTTGAAGAGGCTATTAAACTTCTTAATACATTAAGAGAACAACAACGAATATAATTTTATTACAAATTTTTTAATAATATGGATCTTTTTTACCATTCCAGTAAATTAACTCATTGTATCGCATCCTGTTAAAGTATGGAAAGCAGGTAGGTTGTTCATTGGACTGTCGTTAAGGGCTATTTTATGAACTGCCACGTAACCAGTAAAATTCAGGCTTTTAAACAAATTTCACTAAAAAGGTTTTTAAAATATACCAAAATAATAGGCACATCGCATGTAGAAAAATCTTCCATTTTAGCACAGAGTATACATGAAGTAGAATTCTAGTGTCAGCTTCTTCATGGTTTGATTCTAATAGTTTTCGATTTTCTTCACAAATATCAATATTGGATTTAAAGTCTCTAATGTTATTAAATGCACTACTCGTTACAATGATTAACTGTTTATTATTAAATATTTAGTGAATAAATAAATTTTATTGTTGTGAAAACGGCATCTCTCAATTAGTAATAATCCTATTAATTAATTTGGAAGATCCTCTTTTTTTTTGACGAGTAACAACATCTTTAATCGAATTTTCTGTGTAACGATCAAAAACAACGTCAATATGTTGTGCTTTATATTTGTTTTGAAATACAATTTTTGAAAATATATCAGAATATTCCTTAAATCAAAAGACAAGTGAAGATTCCAAAAATAAATGAAAGGTCGACCAAAAATCGGTAGATTTTGAACAGGTCAGCGAAGCATCGGAAGACGAGAAGAAAATATAATTTAAGATTAAACGACTTACCTGTAAGGAAGTTCAATCGTAATTATACGACTGGTCCGTTACGTATAGAACACCCTGTAATTGCTGCAAAGCGCTGACAGTACACTAAGTTTAAAGAGAGAATAACTGATCCATAGCCCACACAGCTGGCCTATTCATTACGCTTCTTATAAATAAGGAAAAAACGGTGTGGGCCAAAAATTAGAGGAGGGTTTGTTCTATACGTAACGGACCAGTCGTATAATTACGATTGAACTTCCTTACAGGTAAGTCGTTTAATTTTAAATTATACTTCCTGGTCCGTTTCTAATAGAACACTC